GTAGAACTAGGAATTCTGTAATGATATAAACATAGGGAAGAGTTAGATGGGGTTTTCACACATAAATAATGTGAACATTGCACATATATAGTATATAGAGTATTTGGGGTGTAAGTAATCAGAGAACATCACAGGGTACTAGATATATTGTAATCGGGACATTTCAGGGTATATAAACACAGGAGACATAATATAAGGTATATCTGTATATATAACGTACACACAAAGAATTGCTGTAGAAGGGAAAATAAAAAAACAAGCAAAAACGTTCCGGGTATACGTAACAAACTGTATATATCACAGAGGGACATGGAGTTAAATAGTCTCACTCCTAGTCTGTAATATAGGTACACAAAATAATAATGTAAAAGTGGAAATATTCACATTATGACCACTAATACAGATCCCAGGTGTAGGCAATGGGTCAGAAACATATACATCCTGTATATCTATATAATCTATAAATATAAATGTTTTCGCGTGTGGATATTTTTTCGCGGAATAAACTCAAAATGAAAAAGCGTGAACATTTCCACAGCGCGAATATTTCCACTTTTACAGTAGATAAGAAAAATATTGAGAACCTATTTCTTAAAGGTAGATGAACTAATCATACATGAAGATATTTCCGAAGAAATCTGTTCCATTAATTGAACACTAGAGACATTTAACTACTGGCAAAAGGAACTGACTTCGTTGTCATGTAAATTCGTAAAATATGTTTAGGGACATTTAAGAAAATCTTTGGTAAGTTAGACAATGCCACTATTTATTTTTACACTTTTGAATTATGACAAAAGCAAATTTTGGCTCCTTCAAAGAGCCTTCTGCTTTTTTTTTTTTGGCAAAATATCTGCTACTTTCAGGTTTGGCAAAATTCCTGTCATGTCTGAAATCGGGGATATTATTTCCATTTTCAGTATTTATAAAAAACCAAGAATCTCCTCAGGGTGGCCAAAAGATTGTTCCGTAAAATTTGTTGATGCTCTCCTCAAAAATGGCAAATTGTTGCACCTTCAAGATTGGAGAAATTGTCTTCCAAAGATTGCGATAAAACTGCTTTTTCAAAATTTGCTCTGTCTCTTCTACTGTTCGTTAGCCTCCTCGTCTCTTTCTAATTCAAGGCCTTTCAACTTCCTACGCAGAATATCAACAAGTCTTTCCAACCTGAAATACAACCCAATCAAAAATTTATGAAATTTTCTGAGGACAGAAAATATTGTTTAATATGCAGAATTAATGATACATTTATGCTACAAAATAATTCTATTACATAATATATTTCCTAATAAGACCATAGGAATTTGTATAACCTTATTGACCCATTCACCCCTATGTAACTTTAATAACCTCTACCATGCATTATTTTGGGTAAGTCCATTATGGTCTATAGTGGTGAAAGTGTTAAGGAGTTGTCTTTAAATCATTTACCCATTTTCCCCTAGTGCTCCATGTACCTCTGCCCCAAAAAATTATGTCCAGAAATATTCAAGGGGTGTAGCTGAGGAAACCTTTCCCCCTTATTCCACCCAGCCTGTCGACCCAAAGGGGGTTTACCTTAATTCTTACAATGTCAAATTTTCTTGGACTTAATCCTTTCAGCTAGCTGATGTGGACATGACGTCTCTTACAGGACAAACTGACCGAGCACCATGTCCGTTAATTACCAAGGCATAAATAAACTCATAGGCAAGAAGTTAAAAAACAATTTGTGAAAAATATTTGCTTTAAACACAAACCGTTGCTTTTTCTAGTTTACACTAGGCAAGACATTTATTTCGTACATTTTTCATTTGTAAAAAATGGGTTTTTTTAGGGTCACAGTTCATTTCAAACTTTGTAACATCTGTAAGAATAAGTAAAGAAGCCAGAAGTTGTCCAACACTTTTGTAACATCTCTAAGAATAAGTAAAGAAGCCAGGAGATGTCCAACACTTTTGTAACATCTCTAAGAAAAAGTAAAGAAGCCAGAAGATGTCCAACACTTTAATAACATCTCTAAGAATAAGTAAAGAAGCCAGAAGATGTCCAACACTTTTGTAACATCTCTAACAATAAGTAAAAAAGCCAGAAGTTGTCAAACACTTTTGTAACATCTCTAAGAATAAGTAAAGAAGCCAGAAGTTGTCCAACACTTTTGCAGTAGGCGCTACATACTTGACTATCTTGTCCTTGCTGTCCTGGTGAGAATGTTCCAGTTTCTGAAGGTCAGCCTCCAGTTGAATATTTTCATGTTCCGCTGCCCTTAACTGTGCCACACTTGTGTTGCTCTCCTTTCTGACTTGGTCCCCCTCACCGCTGGTATCTATTCCAAGCTTCGAGCTTCCGCTCTGGTACGTATTCAGCTGATCATGTGAATCTTGTGATAAAGATTTGTGTAAACTGAAAAAGAAAATGTTCATGAAAATTTTAATATACCTGTGATTTAAAGTTAAGGTTGTATGCCATCTTATATAGAATAATATATATGTGATTTATGTTGGAGTTAAGGTTGTATGCCATCTTATATAGAATAACATATCTGTGATTTAGAGTTAAGGTTGTATGCCATCTTATATAGAATAACATATCTGTGATTTAGAGTTAAGGTTGTATGCCATCTTATACAGAATAACATACCTGTGATTTAGAGCTAAGGTTGTATGCCATCTTATATAGAATAACATATCTGTGATTAATGTTGGAGTTAAGGTTGTATGCCATCTTATATAGGATAACATATCTGTGATTTAGAGTTAAGGTTGTAAGCCATCTTATACAGAATAACATACCTGTGATTTAGGGCTAAGGTTGTATGCCATCTTATATAGAATAACATATCGGTGATTAATGTTGGAGTTAAGGTTGTATGCCATCTTATATAAAATAACATCTGTGATTAATGTTGGAGTTAAGGTTGTATGCCATCTTATATAGGATAACATATCTGTGATTTAGAGTTAAGGTTGTATGCCATCTTATATAGAATAACATCTGTGATTAATGTTGGAGTTAAGGTTGTATGCCATCTTATAGAGAATAATATATCTGTGATTTATGTTTGAGTAATGATTCTACCCTACATATTTTATCTGTGATGTTGCAAGTTGGAGTATCCAAATCTAGGCAACAAAAGGTACATATCTTGGTCACCTTTTCCATGTCAACTTAAATTTTCTTGAAATCAGAAAGGTGAAAACACTAAAAGTATGATTGACTCATGTATGAAGTTTGAAAACCAAATATGTATTGGTTTCTGAGATATGCTCAAGAAAAGCAAATATACACCAAAGTGATCACATTGTGGTCGAAGTTTCCATGACAACTAAAAGATTCTTTTTGAATTTTCCGAGAGAAGTCACCATTACCTGTAATAGATGCGGATCGTCATGATCTCATCTTTCAGCTGCTTTATTTGGGACAGGGCCATGTCTCTCTCTTGAGTGACTGCTGCAAGTTTGGCCTGCAATAGACAAATAATGTATATAAATAAATAAATATATATACTACATTTGATATAGCGCCCTATCTAGCTAACATAAGCCACTCTAAAGCGCTTTACAGTACATAGATATACAATTTTAATAACAGTCAATACAATTAGCATATATATTAATCAATACAATATTGAGGAATTCGCAGCAGCTGCCTTATCAGGCGCTAACTACTAGTCCTATGCCACCTGGCTAATATCTCCCTATGTGTGTATGCCTGTGTGTGTGCTGGAGATGTATTGTGTTCTGTTTGTAGTGGGACCGTGCTTCCAACGGTATCATTTATAGAGCCACCTTACTTGAATGCTACAGCACAGATACGGCAACAACCACCCCAGACCATTTTATACTCCACCTGGGTTGTTGGAGTTGTGTGGGCAGGAGAAAAACACTTTCTCTAATATTCCATGCGTACGGCGACTTCATGGAACGAACCCCGGCCGCCTGCTTGGAAGGCCAGAGTGTTAACCACTCGACCAATCAGCCCATACATTTTGTATATTGTCTTTTTATCATCATAACATTTTACTAAACACAGAAAAGTATGAGCTATCTCTGTGTTCTACTGCTCACAGAAACATCCTGAGTGTGTCTCTATGTTCTACTGCTCACAGAAACATCCTGAGTATATCTCTATGTTCTACTGCTCACAGAAACATCCTGAGTATGTCTCTATGTTCTACTGCTCACAGAAACATCCTGAGTATATCTCTATGTTCTACTGCTCACAGAAACATCCTGAGTATGTCTCTATGTTCTACTGCTCACAGAAACATCCTGAGTATATCTCTATGTTCTACTGCTCACAGAAACATCCTGAGTATGTCTCTATGTTCTACTGCTCACAGAAACATCCTGAGTATGTCTCTATGTTCTACTGCTCACAGAAACATCCTGAGTATGTCTCTATGTTCTACTGCTCACAGAAACATCCTGAGTATGTCTCTATGTTCTACTGCTCACAGAAACATCCTGAGTATGTCTCTATGTTCTACTGCTCACAGAAACATCCTGAGTATGTCTCTATGTTCTACTGCTCACAGAAACATCCTGAGTATGTCTCTATGTTCTACTGCTCACAGAAACATCCTGAGTATGTCTCTATGTTCTACTGCTCACAGAAACATCCTGAGTATGTCTCTATGTTCTACTGCTCACAGAAACATCCTGAGTATGTCTCTATGTTCTACTGCTCACAGAAACATCCTGAGTATGTCTCTATGTTCTACTGCTCACAGAAACATCCTGAGTATGTCTCTATGTTCTACTGCTCACAGAAACATCCTGAGTATGTCTCCATGTTCTACTGCTCACAGAAACATCCTGAGTGTGTCTCTGTGTTCTACTGCTCACAGAAACATCCTGAGTATGTCTCTATGTTCTACTGCTCACAGAAACATCCTGAGTATGTCTCCATGTTCTACTGCTCACAGAAACATCCTGAGTGTGTCTCCATGTTCTACTGCTCACAGAAACATCCTGAGTGTGTCTCTGTGTTCTACTGCTCACAGAATCATTTTGAGTATAAGTTGCTGCCCCTTTAAAGTTACCACAACTAGCAGTACATTGCACAATACAAAATTTTATGAACTGCAGATTCCAGATTTCCTTATTGCCATTCATATATATGTCTTAGCTCTGGCCTAGGGCATTCAGGCATTGAATGTAATGAATCTGCAATGCACATCATTTTCTGATGTTGTTCAACTCATTCACCCCTGAAATTTCATAATGAACTATTCCAACCTTTGAAAAGAGTTCAAATGTGTCTTCAGGGGTGAATGGGTTAAGGTTCAATTTGAACATTTGTGTTCCATGAAGAATAAAAACATTCACACATATAATGATCAAAATTTCATAGTAAAAAAAAATTGGTTCAATTAATAACCCAGTAACATTTTTACTTTTAACAGCTACAAATAGATTTCATTTTAGATATTCCTTAATGATCAAGATTTGCATGCAAAAACAACAAATCCCACATAATTTTTGGAGTTTAAAGTTAAAACAATAAGAATTGTTATTACAGAGTTTCACACTACTGAACCCCAGAGTTGAAGTTCCTGCTTGCTAGAATTCATCGAGAAAATTCTATATGCTGAGTTGTGATAATGGAGAAGTCTGAGAAAGGCAAGGGGAGGAAACTCTTCCTGGTATGGTATATTTAACCACACAACTGTATTTTGATAATGAACAAAATAAAAATTATTTAGATATGTTTGAATTTTTGAAATGTATACGTATTTGAAAGTTTCTCCAAGATAGTAAGTGTCCACAAATAGACAGGCGGTGTACAATTCGGTTTGTGCCTGGTGTACAATGTAAACCCCTGTTCATATACAATCTATGATCTTTTCACACAAATAAGCCCCCTCTCGCAAAAAAGATCCCTTCCCACTTTGGCAAATGTCCTTGGAACAGGGTGGGTGCCTGCAACTAAGTCCCCTCCCTAATTTTGTCTCACTCTCAAAAACAATGTAAGTTAATTTTTGTCTCTGACACAACCAAATTAGTTAACTGCATGCATTAAGTAGCATAAATATGTGTTTTATGATATATGTGGGAATATATGTTAAGACTGTTGAAGTCAAATCATATAATATATATAAAATATAAACTTTATTTATTTTACAATAATTATGAAACAAGTTATTTCAACTTATATTAATCACTCTTATTGGCCCGGATGTTAGTGTCTGGGGGTCTGAGTGTGTGAGGAAACCGGAGTACATGGAGAAAACCCACGTGGTCGGGTGACCCCAACCTTTTCACGTCCGATTGGGGAATCGAACCTCGGCTGCCTTGGTGAAAGGTAAGTGCACTATCCACTGCGCCACCTGACCACCCATCATACAATGTTCTTACAACAGTTGGATAACAACCTCCACCAAAATTTTCTGTGAAGGCCTCTTGCATACATGATATGCAATGTACGTGAAAAGGTTTTTAAGGCATACTAGGTAATCAGTAAGTGTTCTGACATCAATCATCAACGGGTTCCCCTCTACGATCTAGTCGCTACTGTAAAAGTGGAAATTCTCGCTGCATGGAAATGCTCATGTCTTTTTCCCATCGAGGACATTAGTGTGACAGATTCTACAGAGTATAGATATAAACATGAACACAATATCTATAGATTTTAGGGACAATTCCTAGCTCAACACTTCATGCACGTCTATCAGTTTACACCCACAACACAAACATGTCCACTTTTTCAATGTTAAAGTGTTGGATCTTTTATCAATTTATCAATGCCAACTTGATATTTTAAAAAAGGTGTCATTCCCGAACAAAAGATGAAAAAATAAGCCAAACAAGAACCCAGAAGACTTTGAATTTCCGATCAGATTTCTAGAAACTGATGGAAATAAACACAACAATGCCATTATGACCATTTTTCAATATATTTTTTTCTTTTTCGGTACACATTTCAGTTCACTGAAAGCTTCACTGAATCACTTGAAATGCGTTATTAATTTTTTTTTTCTAATTAATTTTAATACACAAATGGAAAAAGTTATGAATGAAATAAATTCATCATGTTGATTTCTTTGGAATAGAAGAACATGTTTATTGAATATCAATTAATGATTGAAAAATGTAAGAAAATTACATAATTGCAAAATACTGGCTGACCTGAACTAAGTATGAAATTCTACAAACAATTTAAATGATTGATGAATTTCATGAATGTATCTACATCACAAACACATCAAATTGAAAAAAAAACAGCAATGTTATGTGTAAGGCCTTAAAAAGCTTTAAAAAAAATACAATTTTAAAATACAGTATCACAATAATGTCAGAAACATTGACAAATGAAAATTTCTAATCAATATTTTTTTTTTTTTGTATTGAAAATAATGAAATTGACCAAAAATTATTCAAACAAATTAATTTGCCTAAAATATAGGAATACTGAAGTTGTTGCTTACTTGAATTTGAAAATATTTGTAAAACATGCATATGCCCCCACTTTACTGGAAATAAAACTGAAAGCAAAGTCAAACCCTACTAAATGATGCAGACGATAAAGGTCACAGTGACCTACATGTCATATGTTGGTGTAGTCCTCAAGAAGAATCTGCATAACAATTTTGATGACTTTGGAGCTAATACCAGAGAAAATAACTTAAATACAAAGTCTAACCATAATAACCTATATATAGGTAGCTTACAGCAAAGTCAAACAAAAGTCATAGAAAACATAGGTCACAGTGACCAGAACTTGTCACACAACTGTTTGGTACGCCTCGAGATGTATCTATATATAAAGTTTGATGACTTTGGAGCTAATACCAGAGAAAATGACCTAATTACAAAGCCTAACGATAAATCAAAGTCAAACCAAAGTCATAAGAAAACAAAGGTCACAGTGACCAGAACTTGTCACACAACTGTTTGGTACGCCTCGAGATGTATCTATATATAAAGTTTGATGACTGTACGACTTGTAGTATCAGAACAATGGAGTTTAACACAATCTAACAAAGATTTGGAACGATGGAAAAGACAAGCACGTATACGTAATACCCCTTGAAGTAAAGTGACAAGGCCATGTGTATGATATGTCTATCATAGGTATGTCGAAGATGAACATATCTCGTGATATTCATCAAAATCAGTCGAGAAATACAGCTGTTCGATTGACGACAGACACTGTGATAGTGAAATACTTCTTTTTAAATAAGAATAACTTTGCACATGTAGGGAGGAATATTATTAAGCATTAATGCTGGTATATTTATGTTCTTATTATTCAGAATTTAAAATTAATTAATTATTTAGCAGAATTTTATTTTATCTATGAATAATATCAATGTACCTGTAATGACCAAATATAAAGATGGCCACATTAAGTTTATCTACAACAGCCGACACAAGTGGACGATATGTACTGACCGCTACCTGGACAACACCGGACAACGGTAGTAATCTGGTGTCCACTACACCCAATATCACAGACCCA